CTGCTATAAATTTTATTATTTATGAAAATAATTGAATAGTTTTTAATTTGAATAGAATTTTATTATAATTCTCAAAAATAATTGAATTACAGAGAAGAATTTTATTATTTTTGAAAATAATTGAATTATTGCGGAAAAGCTTATTAAAATATTTAAAAAGTATTGAATTTCTGTAAAAAATTTTATTATTTTTGAAAGTAAGTGAATTCTTCATTAGAATTTTATAAACATTGTTTTAAATAATAATTATTTTTTTTCGAAATATAATAAATATTATGAAAATTTTATTATTTAAAATAATTGAATTCTTGTGTAAAAACTTTATTTGTGAAAATAACTGAATTTTTCGATTATTAATTTAAAATAGTAATGAAAATAATTGAAATTTTTCGACGAGTTTTATTATTTATGAAAATAATTAAATTCTTGCTTAGAATTTATTAAAAACTTTTTTTTTAAATTGATTTTTAATGAAAAATTATATTATTAGTGAAAGTAATTGAATTATTGTGAAAAATAAATTGCGCATAAAATTTTGTTAAATAATTGATTTTTTCGAAATTTTTTTTAAAATATAGCGAATTTAAAATAGTGGAAATTCTCTAAAAAAAATATAATTTATATTCTTTGTTCAGAAAGTTAAAGATTATTTTTAATTTAGGTATCAAATATCAATTTTTGCGAAATTCAATTTACTTCGTACAAGAAAGTTTAATTATTTTTAATTTTGAAAATCTGATGTAAAATTTGAAATTAGTATTAAAATTTGTTAAAGTTTTTTATGTACTTTGAAGTTTAAAAGTATAATATAATTTGAAAATTTAATTCTAATTAGTATTTATATTTATAATACCAATTTATTGAAAATTATGGCGAAAGTATCTTTTAAGTTCCTGAAAATTTGTCATCAGTAGTAAAAGAAATTTTTGTCTCATTAACAATAATTATAATGATTAATTAGTCAAATTAATTAATAATTGTCATAAAAGACAATTTTAGGCGGAAAGTTCGTAATAAGTAGTAAAAGACAATTTTAGTCAGACTGATATTATGATACTGATATTATGGTTAACATTAAGTAGTATAAATCTTCGTATTTCATTCTTTCATTCTCTGTCTGTCCACACTTTGAAGTTATAGTTTTTGTGTATGCTTTTGTTTTTTTTTAATATTATTTGACAGATCGAAAAAATACAATTATTTTTTCATGATCTATAATAAAACAATATTTGAAATTAGAAAATATAAAAAAATTATGATTAACAAATAAATTTTGTTGATTATATGCTTTTTTCTATATAACAAACTTCGCTTGACTGATTGATCTAAATTCTGCAAATGTTTCTTCTTTTTATTTATAAAAAATAGAAAATTATTAATTGTTAAAAAATTATAATTAAGAATATAATAATTAAATATACCCATTTTTTTTTAAATTGTAAAAAAGTGTTACGATATTAAAGTACGACCTCCAAGTGATAAAAGACATTTTTATTCAGACTAAAAGTTTAAGAATTTACTGAAATTTCTTTTAAGTAGTATAAGACCATTTTAGTCAGACAAAATGTTTAGAAATCTTTAGAAATGTTTTACAAGTAGTAAATGTCAATTTCAGTCAGACTTAAAGATTTAGAATTTACTCAAATTCTTTTTATGTGAAAAAAAACCATTTTATTCACATACTGAAAGTTTAGTAATAATTAAAAATTACTTTTAAGTAGTACACGGTCATTTTAGTCAGACTAAACATTTATTGTGAATAATTAAAATTTTTTTTTAAAGTCTGACTGAAAGTTAAGGATTTATTGAAAATTTCTTCTAAGTAATAGAAGACAAAAATGATAAAAATTTAGTCGTACTGAAAGTTTAGAAATTAATAAAAAATTCTCTTTAAGTGGTAAAATACAGTCTTAGTCAGACTGGAAGTTTCAGAATTTTTATCCATCTTTTTAACAGTTCAAGTAATTTAAATATCAAAAATAGTTGAATAAACGTATTTTTCCTTTAAAACATGCAAAATTATTTGATTTTTCTATAAAATTAATTCACTTAAATATGGAAACTTATTTTACCATAATAACAAAATTAAATTTCTGTATATTCAATTATATATATATAAGATGAAAATATAGAGATGAGAAAATATTTGTTTTGCGTGCAATATGTGAAATCGAAAGCAAAAGCCACACGAACAAACTCACTCATATTTTGAGTACCGTAGACACTAGCGTATGGCAATTTTGTCGTTTGTTCAGCAATATAACGATTTCTCGCGATAAAATGTTGCCTCGTTTGATTTTCCAAATTCTCCCTCGGCGTCCAAAATGATTCCTGGAAATCCTCAATTTTATCCAATGTTGGCGTGTGCGCCAAGCCACCGTTCATCATTAATCTCGAACGATTCATATCACTCTCGCCATTTCTGTAAAAATCCCATAGAGAAAAAAATTTTCAATTAGAAAAAAAATCATAATTCACAAAAAATGAATCAAAAAATTTATTCTGCACTTTTTATTCCAAAATTGTAAATACAAGACCATGTATTTTTTGTTGTTGTTGTTGTTGTTGTTGTTCGGAATTTGAGAAAATGTTCAAGAAATGCTACACAAAACAGCACTGATGAGACTGTTTTTAGAAAATGGAAATTTTTAACTCAAATAATAAAATAATTATTGTCTCGTCTTATTAGTAGTAAAAGACAATTTTGGTCAGACTATTATAGGAATTTGAGAATTGATACTTTTTCTAAGTATAGTAAAAGAGAATTATAGTCAGACCTGGGAAATTGAGGATTAACACTACACCTAAGTAGTAAAAAGTAGTTTATGTCAGCCCCAGTTAATTACATAACTAAAAGCTTTTGTTATTAAAAAGTTTTAAAGAGACTATATAATTTTAATTCGAATTAGTAATATTCTACTAACAAATAATAAAATTTCAGTAATTGCTGGCAATTTTCATGGATGATATTTCCTTTTTGTAACTAGTCGGACTGAATGTTTACAAATCAATTAAAATTATTTATAAGTAGTAAAAAGTAATTTTAGTCAGACTGAAAGTTTAGGAATTATTAGAAATTTCTTCCAAGTGATAAAAGAGAGTTTAAGTCAAACTAAACATTTAGAGGATAGAATAGAAACGTTTTCGTCAAGCTTTTAGTGAATTATTTAGAAGTCAATGAAAATCATTATTATAAGTAGTAAAAAATAATTTCAGTCAGACTGAAAGTTCAAGAATTATTAGTTGTTTCTTCTAAGTGATAAAAGAAAGTTTTAGTCAGACTGAATTTAATTTAATTTAAGAATTTTTTCTCAAAAAGCTTAAAATTATTCTGAAAATTTTTAAAATAAAATTCGTCGAAACTATTGAATTACATATTATCACAAATTTTTATAAAATTCCTCGAAAGAATTCAATTATTTTCATAAATAAATGAATATGATATTATTTGAATAGAATTGCCAACAAGAATTTAGTTATTTTCCTGAATATAATGAATTTTCTCAAAAGAATTCAATTCTTTATCAAGATTTTGTTTAAAATTCTTTCTAAGAATTCAATTATTTTCAATAAAATTTTAACTAAATTTCTCGAAAAAATTTAATTATTTTCACAAATTCACTGAGAAAACAATACATTTCAATGAAACTTGATTTTCTTCATTTTACAGTCAACCAAAAATTATTTTTAAATTAGACATAATAATTTTGATTCAATAAATAATAAGTTTGATTCAATTATAAAATATTTTGTCAAGGAATTTTATCAAAAAGTAGTATAAAAATATTCAATTTCTAGAATTTATATATGAAAATTATGAATTTTGTTGTCCAACGTAACAGACTCAAAAAAGGAAAATTTAATTTTAAATTTTTTCTATTTCTACCAATAAATAATTAAACAAAATTATAATTTCAATTAAAATTCGTCGAAAAAATTTGAAAGTGAAAAATTATTAAATACATTAGATATATTAAATAATATATTTAAAAATAATAATTGTATTCTTTCGAGAAATTTTACTAATAAATTGTATTTGAAAATAATTTAATTTTTCCAAAACATTTTATTATTTATGAAAATATTTTAATACTTGCGAAGAATTTTCTTATTTATGAAAATAATTAAATTCTTGTGGAGGATTTTACAATTCAAAAAAAAAAATAATTGAATTGTTTCCAAAAATTTTATTTGAATTTTTGACAATATAATTGAATTTTTTGAAGGAATTTTATTAAAAATTAGGAAAATCATTTTCAATAATTTTGATGAAATTTTCTTAAGAGAATTTCATCAAAATTGTTGAAAATTATTGAATTTATATTAAAATTCTTGAAAATACTCGAATTTAATTAGTATTAAAAAAAATAATTGTATTCTTTCGAGAAATAGTGAAAAATAAATTCAATTTATATATTTTTTTTGCAATAATATTATAACAAAACAAATTTGAATTAGTAAAAATTTGAACTAATTAGAACAAAAGTGATACGAAATTTAAAAAATTAATTTCTAAGTAGGTAAGTAAAATTTCTTTTCCTAGAAAATAAATTTTCAAAAAATCGTATTTTGCATTAATATTAATTCTTTTTTTTACAATTATTACAATTAGAAATATTTTAGTTAAAATCTCGAGAAAATAATTGAATTGAAATTTTGAAAATAATTTTTTAAAGTTACAATAGAAATTCTTAAAAATTATTCGTTTTTTTTAAATCTTAATACCTATGTGTAATAGAAAAATAATGGATAATAATTAAATATTTATTGCAAAAAATCTATTTAAGTTCCAAATGATTTTATAATTAAAGATATTAAAAAAAATGTATTATAAACATATTTCGGAGTTTCAATTATTTTTAGAGTAACCTAAAATATTTTTATTTTTTTAATCAAAGTTTTGTCTAAAAATCAGGGAATTCTTTCAATCTTTCATGGAATAATTTATTTTCAGAGTTATTTTTTATAACCAGGAATTTTTTTTTTTATGAAAACGAGTTATTTTTTATAACCAGGAATTTTTTTTTTTATGAAAACGAGTGGCCACTTTGAATAAGTAGTAGAAGTCAGTTTTAGTCAGACCAACAGTTTTAGATATTAGCGAAAATTTCTTCAAAAGCTGGTAACCGACATTTTTATTCACTCTAAAGTCTAAAATTAAGAAAAATATCAGAAAATTTATGAAATTAGAAATATTTTAATCAGACTGTAATTTTAGCTGCGCAGTGGTACAAAAACTTGAGTTTTTGAGAGACTTCAAGTTTAGCGAAAATTCGCAAAATTATCTTCCAAGTGCATATAAAAGACATTTCCATCTTAGACTCAAAATCCGAAAAATTATATACTAGAAAATTTTGAAAATGTAATTTTCGAGAATTTTACTTCTCAAATACGATGAGACAATTGCAAAATACAACAAAAAGTAGTACAGATGCAGTGACTCTAATAACTGGTGAATTCTCCCACCTCCAAAATGCCGATAAGAACAATTCAAATATCAGCGGTGACCATTTAATCATAAACTGAAGTACCACTTTACTCCAATCGAGGAAATTCTCTAAATACCAATTAATATCATCACTCCAAGAATTTTTCTCCATCTCGACAAAATATTTTTCACAAATTTCAGAAAATCCCCATTTCCATCCCAACGACGATAATGACGATTGACAAGGGTACTTGATAAGAATTCTCATCACTTGAATCCTCACATTCGGATCGGTGAGAATTTCGTAAATGTACTTCAATACCAAAAAGGAATATTGTAAAATTCGCTCGAAAAGAATCAGGAAAATTTGACAGAGAATCACAAATTGAAAGATGGCAACCGACCAGAGAATAGTGAAAATTTCCAGGAGAATCACAAGGAGGTAATTCAAACACAAGAGGGCGAAGGGAAAAAGATTATTCCAAATGTGCTCGATGTCGTCGATTTTTAAATTGAAAATTTGTAGAAAGTCACGAAGGAGGAGATTGAGATTTTTGAAGTGTTTGAAAATGGGGAGTAATCTTTCATTGTAGGTTGTGGAGAGAGTTTTAAAATTGAAAAAAAGTTGGAAATAATGTTTTGAAGAGAGAATCTGTTGGACGAAGGAAGGTTTCTTGAGGTGGGTGAAAATGAGTAAATCGTCGATGTGAGTGAGAATTTCTTCGTGGGCGAGGAAGCAGCGAACGACGAGGTAACCGAGGAGGAGTGTCAGGTGGCCGATGAGAATTCGCTTGAGAAGAGTGGGAAAGGGTCGGTACCTGGAAGGCAAATTCGTGCTCTGGCCAGCGACGTACCGAGCGACGCTGAGGTAATGTTGCTTGGCCGAAAGTTTCCTCGCACTACTTTTCATGTTGTTGCTCTGGCTCTGCTGATTCTGATGATTCTGCTGCTGAAACTGATTCTGCTGCTGAAACTGATTTTGATGTTGATACTGATTCTGCTGCTGAAGCTGATGCTGATTCTGAAGTTGATGCTGATTCTGCTGATGATTATTCCAATTATTCGGCTCTTGCGGTTCGTCCCATGCAGGCAACGACCAGTTGTTGGCATTGGACAGCTTTGGATTCTCGATGGAGTAATTGCTGCTCCAATTGGCACGATTTTCCTTGTAGACACGGTCGGGTACAAGTTTCGTGTTGGAATTGTCCGGGATGATCTTGCTCCTGATGCGTGAGAACAACAACGGAATACTGAACATCGTAAGATCGAGCTTAAACTGATGATTGGTAGGAGTTATCAGATTTTTTTTTTTTTTTTTTTTTATTTTGAAGAATTAAAGTTAAGGTGTAACGCACCCAAGTAGATCGGCGAAATCATCATCGTCGTCGTCGTCCCATTTTGGAATACTCTCACGTTTACGACTATTGTGATTCAAAAGAGGTAAAACTGGCTGCTGCAATTGCTGCTGGACATTGTGGTTCTGGGGTAACTTCTCCTGTACTCTGAAATAATGATTTTCTTATTATTAATTGTTAGAGAAGTTTTAATTTGTGTAACGCCTCTTTCGAAGGTTGACAACTATAATATTTTCACCGCACTGAGAAAATTATTCTCTTGAAATTTTTGTTTTCAAAGTTTTTCTGCGGATATCAAATTGAGACAAAAAATGTATGAAAATTGGGATACCCGAAAATTGTTGCTATGCAACAATTCTCATACGTTTTTTTGACGCAATTTGATATCCGTAGAAACACTGTGTTAAATTTGAATTGGTAAAAAATTTTACTAATTTAAATTGTGATTAAATTTTTGCTATCAGAGTTGTCCTGCGTGGATATCAAATTGAGAGAAAAAAAATTTATCAAAATTGTTGCGATGCAATAACTTTCATACGTTGTTTGTCTCAATTTGATATCCGCAGAAAAATTGTGTTTTAATTAGAGTAAATTTTACTAATAAATTAAAATAAATGACTATTTATTAGTAAAATTTACTAATTCAAAAGCAAAAAGGCAGTCTCACTAATGGAAATTATTAAATACTAGCAAATCTTCGCAAATTCTTCGCAAGAATTCAATTATTTTTATAAAAATAATAACATTCTTTGAAAGAATTCAATTATTCTTATAAATAGTAACATTTTTTTTTGCAAAAATTAAATTATTTTTAACAATATTTTAATAAAACTTCACAAACGAATACAATTAATTTTTAAAGCTTTAATAAATCCTTCGAAACAATTCAATTATTTTTTTTAAAAAGTAAAATCTTTGCAAAAATTCAATTATTTTCAAAACAATTTTAATTGGATTTCTCCGGAGAATTCAAATATTTTCAAATATATCCATAAAATTCAATTATTTCCTTAAATTTTAATAAATTCTACGAAACAATTCAACTATTTTTATAAGTACTATAAAATTCTTTGCCGGAATTAAATTATTTTTAATCCAATTTAAATAAAATTACCTGAAAGAATTTAATTATTTTCCAAAATTTCCATAAAATTCAATTTCAGCAAGAATTTAAAATTCTCTAAAAATAATTCAATTATTCTCAAAATATTTTTAAAAAATTCAACATGAAAATTAAATTACTCTCAATGCAATTTTTGAATACATTCGTCAAAAAAAAAATGAAAGAATTCAATTATTTTCAAAAAAAAAAATAAAATTCTTCTAATGCGAATACAATTATTTTGAATATGCTTAATTTCAAAAAATCCTTTTTACAGAAATTCAATTATTTTCGAAACAACTTTAATTCAATTTCTCGAAAGAATTTAATTATTTTCAAATGTTTCTATATAATTATTTAAAACAATTCAATTTTTCCTATTAATAAATTCTTCCATCATTTCAATTATTTTTATAAACAGTAAAATTCTTCGTAAGAATTAAATTATTTTTATAAATAATAATATTCTTCTCAGGAATTCAATTATTTCCAATAAAATTTTAATAAAATTCTTATCAGGAATTCAATATTATTATTTTCAACAAAATTTTAATAAAATTCTTCTTCATAAAATTTAATTGCTTTCAAAATTTCTAATTAAAATTATTAAAGAAACTCTATTATTTTAAAGAAATTCAAAGAAATTTTTCAAAAGTATTTAATTAAGATTTTAAAAATTTTTAAGAAAATTCATGGCGAGAATTTAATTATTTTTGCAAGAATTAAATTACTTTCATAGATAATAAAATCCTTTGGAGGTATTTAATTATTTTTAATAGGTACAATTTTAACAAATTTTATGAAAGATTTAAAAAGATTTATAAAGATTCCAAACCATTATAAATAATTTAATTATTTTATTTAGAAATATAAGTAATTAAAATTCTTGAAAAAATTCAATTATTTTTATAAAAAATATTTTTATTTTAATACAATTTCAATTAAATTACTCGAAATTACTTAATAATTTTTAGAAATTTTTATAAAATTTTTAGAAAGAATTCAATTATTTTTAAAAACAATTATTTTCATAAATTAGTAAAATCTTGGAAAAAGTTAAATTATTTTCAAACAGTTTTATAAAATTATATAGAAGAATTAATTTACTTGGAATTCAAAATGATTAAATTTACAAAAATGAGATATATTGAGATATTAAACTTATATATTTATAAATTGACTTTAATTAAACAAGACCATTTAAAACTATTTAAACATTTTTAATTTAGTATTATATTTTCTCAGTGCGAATGTAAAATAGCCCTTTTTGAAGGTGTTACACAAAAATGTTTCCTAATAAGAAACCAATGAAATTTTTCTGATGAAATTAAAAATTCTCTGATGCGATAAAAAATTAAAAGAGCAAAACTATTTTCCACTATTTAGAGAGATGTTAAATTACATTATAGAAAAATGAAGTGAACTAATAGGAGGATTTCAAAATCTATAAAAATTGCAGAATAGAAAAAAAACTCTACATTATATGTGATTCTACAATAAAGGAAATTATTATTTTTCTTCAAATATAGAAAATTTTTAAGAAAGAGCTCTAATTTTATAAAACAAGAAGTGATTCTCAATATCATACTCTAGTGCGAATTAAAAATTTAAGGCTTTCAAACAGCATGCAGATGTAAAAATAAAATTTAGAAGTTTACAAAAGAAAAGACTGAAATTTAGAAAACTGTACTTATCTAGAGAATTACATCTGCAACAATGTTACACATTTTTTGCAAAAGAAAAAACCGAAATGGTTTTAAAAAAATTTTTTAAACAGAAAGAAAATAATTTTTGAAATATTTACGCTTTAAAAATAACAAATCATTTATAAAATAAAAATATAATTTTTCGTGTTAGAAAAAATTAAAGTTTCTCTCATTTACTTTTCATTTACCTAGAATTCAAATAATGAATTCTTTTCATAACTAAATAAATATAAAATTATAAAATTGTAAACAAATGAATATAAATAAACATAAAATTTATAAAATCCTAAATATAAATTAATAAATAAAAAATAAAACAGAATTTTTTTTCTTTATTTTTGATTAAATTTAGAAAAATATAATTCTGAGAAAGAAATAATTGCTGGAAAGAATTAATATTGTTATAAATGTGAAATATGAATGTTTAAATGAATAATTAATTACCTGCTAAGATTTATGCTACTTCCATCCTGGGAATTATAATTATGAATCGTTGGCGGTAAATTAACTTTATTCATTACAAGTTCCCTTTGGGATCCTACACCTATTTTTTTACTACTAATTACTCTGGGTCCACGAACTTGAAAGTATGGATACCTAAAAAGGTGTTTTTCAAACAAAAGATTACAATAACACTAAAAAAGTTGGAAATTAAATAAATTAATTAAAATAAATATAATTATATAGTAACGTAGGATTAATATACAAAATGTAATAAATTAAATTATATAAAATATATAGTAAATAAAAATATACAAAAGATAGTAAATAAAAATACAAAAGATAGTAAGTAAAAATACAAAAGATAGTAAATAAAAATAAACAAAAAAAAATAGTAAACATACGAATAAGTAAAATAATTTTTTTTAATGTGATAGAATCGTTAATAAACAAAAAACCTAAAAGGTTCAAAATTTAATAAACAATTAACATACATAACATATCATATAAGAATTTTAGTAAATTTTAGTAAAAATTACTAGGATTATTAAAAAATATTTTCATATTAAAATTGAAAAAAAATCACTTTTAGAAATTGGTAAGTTTTTGTTTATAGTTAACAGAATACTTTTGATATTTTTATTAAACTATTCTTAAATAAAAAATACTGAATATTTTTTTTTATATAAACACAGTTTTTCTAACAAGGATATCAAATTGAAACAAAAAACGAATAAAAAATGTTGCAACATTTTTGATTCGTTTTTTGTTTTAATTTGATACCTATCCTTAGAAAAACTGAAGAATACTGAATATTTTTTCTATAAAAAATACTGAATATTTTTTTCTATAAAAAATACGGAATATTTTTTTCCATATAAAAAATACTGAATATTTTTTTCCATATAAAAAATACTGAATATTTTTTTCCATAAAAAATACTGAATATTTTTTTTATGTAAAAATACTAAATATTTTTTTTATATAAGAAATACTGAATATTTTTTTCTATAAAAATACTGAATATTTTTTTTCTATAAAAAATACTGAATATTTTTTTCTATAAAAAATACCGAATATTTTTAATATGTAAAAAATACCGAATATTTTTAATATGTAAAAAATATTAGATATTTTTATATGTTAAAAAAATGTAGTAATATAATTTAATTAGCATTTTGATGAAAAACTGTTATTATACCTAAGAGATTGTTGTGCAGTGGGCCTCTTGATAGGATTCCACTGTAGCATATCTTCCATAAGAATCACAGCAGGTTCACTAGCATTAGGAATGAGTACACTAAGAGAAGTTCGATTAAAATTTGGAAACTTAAAATTCATCGCCGACGCCAATTGATAGCCCTCTTGCCAATCGTTTTTATCCGGTGTGCCAATTACCGAGCAAATCTTGAATATCTCGTCGATTTCACTTTTCCCCGGGAACAATGGCCTAAATGTGTAAAGTTCTGCCATTATACAGCCAACTGCCCAAATATCGATAGGACTGTTGTACGTTGTTGAATGCAGTAGAACTTCCGGTGCTCTGTACCTGAACGAATGATAAATTTTTATTTCGTTACTTATTATTTATAAAAATATTTAAATATATCCTAGTAATTATTTACTTATTATTTATTTACAATATTAAATATTAAAATATATTAAAACATTAAATATACACTGTAAAAAAAGGGAGTTAAATTTTAACTCCCCCGGGGGGTCTATAAAAGTCGCACCCATTGGGGAGTTAATGCCAGGGGAGTTAAATAAAGAGAGTTAAAATTTCACACCCAAATGCTAACTCCCCAAGGAAAAAATAACTCGCGCGGGTGTTGAATGAAGGGAGTTAGAAATTAACTCTCTTTTGGAGTTGATTTTTAACTCGAAAAATTTCACTCCCGAGTCTGTTAACTCTCTAAATTTTTTACAGTGTATATTAAAATTATATTTAGGTATTTATTATTTAAATACCGAAATTAATTTATTAATTAATATGTTAATTTATTTTTTTAAATATTTTTTGAAAAATATTCATTTAGGGACTGTCTATATAATATATTACGTCGTATTATTTTTTATAATTCGCCCCCCCCCTCTCCTTGGAAGTGTGACGATAAATATGAACAACCCTTAATTAAATATATTTATTTACAAACAATAATTCGTTAAATATTTATTTACAAATTATTTAATAATAAATAATACATTTAAAAAAAAATTTATTTCTGGGAACAAAAGACTATAAGGAAGAAATAAACGTTTCTAGAAATGAATTTTTCAGAATTGATTTTGATCTGAGTAGTCGAAGACTATTTTAGTCAGACGGAAAGTTTTTAACTTTTTATTATTCTAGAATTCAGTAGTATAATGTACAATTTTAAAGTGATTAGTCAAAACCGAAACTGAAAAAAACTATATTGAAAATATTTCCTAAGTAGTACAAGGTAATGTTTAGTCAGACAACAATTTTAATAGTTTTAATTTTAATACCATTTTAGTGAGGATAATATTTTAATTTTCTACAAATTCAGAATCAGTAGAAGAAGCCAAATTTAGTCAGACGTATTGAATCAGAATTGTCACGTCTTCTTAGTAGTAAAAGAAAATTTTAGTCAGACCATACAGGGAAATAAGAATATTGAAGCTTCTACTAAGAAGTATATACAAGAGAATTTTAGTCAGACTAGAGAATTGAGAATTAACTCTTCATTAAGGTAGTAGAAAGCAATTTTAATCCGTCCAAGTTGAGAAAATTACTAGAAACTTTTGTTATTAAATAATTTTAAAGAGACAGTTTTAGTCCGACTAAAAGTTTAGGAATTTTTGATATTTTTTCTAAGTGATAAAAGACAGTTTTAGTCAGACTAAAAATCATTTAAAACGATTTTAAGTAGTAGAAGGCAGTATTAGTCAAACTAAAAGATTAAGAATTTAAGGAAATTTTTTTCTGACTGAAAATTTTGTGATTTGTGACTATACGTAAGTAGAAAAATACAGTTTTAGTCAGACTGAATGCTAAAAAATTATTGGAAATTTTTTCTAAGTGATAAAAGACAGTTTTAATCAGACTAAAACATTTGAAATTATTGAAAAAATTTTTAAGTAGTAGCAAGACTTTTTTAACTGCGTTAATCACAGTAAATCGAGAGGTATTAAAAAGTGTTGTAGATTAAATTAACACCAAAAAAAGATTAAAATAATTAATTTTGATGTTATTTTTTACAATGAATGAAATTTTAGTTCATTAAATTTTTTTATAACTATAAAACATGAAGATGTCGATAACTCCGAGTCTTCGACTCGGAGTCATCGATTTCTTCATGTTTTATAATAATTAAGGGCATTTGAACCTTGATGACGTTACAGTTTGTGCAAAGCATGTGTGACGTCATCAAGGTTCAAATGCCCTTAATAGATGATCAAGTAATAAAATCATTATTTTATATTATAAGAAAATATTATACTTCTTCAAAATTATTTTCATTACTTCAATTCAATCATTATTTTCAAAAATTTTTAACTGCAATTTTACTTCATATCAATTATTTTTAATAATTTTCGAAAAAGTTCTTTGGCAATTTTCAAATCCATTTGTTTACAATGTTCAATTTCACGAAATTTCAATTATTCCTAAATTCTTTAATTAAATGCATATTAGAAAATAAAAACTTTAAATAAAATAAAAAAAAAAATTCAATTAAACCGTTTCAAAAAAAATTAATTTCCAAATTCAATTATTTCTAAAAATTCACGCTATATTGCTTTTAATATTCATTTATAATCTAAAGTTTTAACTGAAATTCATTTTTATGAAATGAAAATCAATTTTTAGTAAAAAGTTCTACAAGATTGAAATTATTTAAATGTAAAAGTAAATAATTTTTTGAATAATTGAATATTTCTCAAAATTCAATTCTCATAAAGAATTTTATTAACAAATTTTTAAATAATTTAATTCTTTTGTCGAATTTTATTAAAACTTGCATGAACATAATTACCTTTTTTTGAAGGAATTCAAAATTATAATTGTATGAAAAATAATTGAAACGCTGCGATGAGTTTTATTATGAGTAAAAATAATTGAATCCTTAAGAAGAATTTTATTACTTTTGAAAATAAATAAATTTTTGCAATCATTTGTAACTTTTTTCAAAATTCAATTTTTTTTAGTGCTTTTAACTAAAATTCTTTAATAGATCCATTATTTTTAATAATTTTTAAAAAAGTACCTACTTTGAGAATTTTCAAATTCATTTGTTTACAGTTCAATTTTACAAAATTTCAATTTTTCGGAAATTCTGCAATTAAATATTTATTGAAAAATAAAACATTAAAATAATTTTAATAAAAATCCTATTGAACTTTTAAAAAGAATTAATTCTACAGAATTGTTTGTCAAAAATATGAAAAATTAAGAATTTCAATGATTTTAATTTTAAACTTTTTCAAAATTTAATTATTTTTAAAAATTCACGTTATAATGCTTTTAATATTTAATTATAATCTAAAATTTTAACTGTAATTCATTTTTAAAACTAGATTTTATTAGTAAATTCTACGAGAGAATTCAATTATTTAAATAAAAAAAATAAATAATTTATTAATATCATGTTTCTTGAAATTAAATTCTCATAAAAAATGTTATCAACAAATTTTTTTAATCATTAAATTCTTTGGACGAATTTTAATAAAATTTTTCAGAATAATTATATTTTTCGGGGAATTCGATTAAAATTGCATAAAAAATAATTGAAATTCTGCAATGAGTTTTATTATCTATGAAAATAATTGAATTCCTAAAAGAATTTTATTATTTACGAAAATAATTGAATCCCTGTAAAAATGTTATTATATTTATGAAAATAATTGAATTATTTCGAAGAAATTTATAAAAAGAAATTTGTAATTATTGAATTCCTGTAAAAAAACTTTATTATTTATGAAAATAATTGAATATTTGCGTAAAATTTTATTCAATTTTTTTTTAATAATGGAATTCTTTTGGAAAATTTTATTGAAATAGTAAATATTGAAAATTTTTGAATTTTAGAAAACTTTTGAAAATAATTGAAATTTTGACAAGAATTTGATTAAAATTTTGTAAAATAATTGAATATCAGAGAAGAATTTTATTATTTATAAAGAGAATTGAAATTTTGATGAAATTTTTTTTAAATTTTTAAACACAATTGAATTTAGTAACTGTTACTAAATAAGTTATTAAGTTAGTAACTAAGTTAGTCACTAACTTACTATTTTCCCTAGAGAAGCTAAATTCGTTGAATTTTGTGTTTTATTTAAAGTAAAATTTCATTCATAGTTAATAATAACACCAAAATAGATTATTTTAATCCTTTCTGGTGTTTTTTTAACACCTCACGTTTTACTGTAATAGTGAGTCACTAATACAAATTAGTTAAAATTTTTACTAATTCAAATATAGAGATTAATTTGAAAAGACAATGAATCTAGAATTAGTAGTTGATTACATTTTTAGTCAGACTAAAAATTATGAATTTACAGAGATTTCTGCGAAGTGAAAAAAATGTTATAATCAAATTTAATATTTAAATTACCAGAAAATTAATTCTAAGTAGTAAAGGTCAATTTCTGTCTGACTTAAAATTTTCTGATTTCTTTGAAAATTCTTCTCAATTTTAAGACAGTTTCAATCAAACTGAAACAATTAATATTTCTTAAAAAAAAATTTGTGTGTAGTATAAAAAAGTTTTTAGTCAAACTAAAAGTTTACAAATTTATAAAAATTTTGTTTTGAGTAGTAAAAAACCATTTTATACTGAAACTAAAAGTTTAGAAATCAGTAGAATTCCATTTATTTCTGAAAATTATTTATAAGTAGTAAAAAGTAATTTTAGTCAGACTGAAAGTTTAGGAAGTATTGGAAATTACTTCTAAGTGAAAAAAAACTGTTTTCGTCAGACTAAAACAGTTAAAATTATGGAAATGAAGAGTTTTAAGTAGTATAAGGAAGTATAAATCAGACAATAATTCTAGCATCAGTAGTAGAAGACAGTTTTAGTCAGACTAAAAGTTTAGGAATTTATTGAAATCTTGTTCTATAAGTAGTAAAAGACCCTTTTAAGCAAACGAAATGGTTAGAAATTATTGCAAACGATTTGTAAGTAGAAAAAGGCAGCTTTAGTCAGACATAAGCTTTATGATATTTTTTGAAAATTCTTCTAAAGTGTAAATACACTTTTAACCAGACTAAAACATTTTAAATTAACAATAAAAATTTCTAAGTAGTAGAAGATAGTTTGAATCAGACTATAATTTTAGTAGAAGTAGTAGAAGACAGTTTTAGTCAGACTGAAAGTTAAGAACGTGTGAAAATTCCTTCCAAGTAGTAATAATAATTTTAGTCTTGGCAGACAAATTTAAAAAAATTTTTTTTTTTAATTTACCCTTTTTTCTTTATAATTAATTGTCGCAAAGAGTATAATAAAAAGGAAAGGACAAGTTTACGAGTCACTACTCTATATATACGTTCATACATTATACTATATGCGTTCATACACTATATATATATATATATATATATATATATATATATATATATATATATATATATATATATATATATATATATATATATATATATATATATATATATATATATATATATATATATATATATATATATATATATACACACATCCCTAACATTGCTGTGAAAAACGAGAAAGTAAAACTATAAATTAGTTAGCTATATTTATATGCCCGTCTATATGCAAATAAGTTCATTTAAGTTGATGTCAAAGCCCTCGAGAGTGGCTATAAGAGAACTTCCTTCGAAGAGCACCAGTTTGTATTTAACAGTCGACATAAAAGATGAATCTGGGTCGCTCTATTTGCATAACAATGTGTATTCTTGTAACCATATACAATGATACCAAAATGTGGATCAAATGATAATAATAATAATAATAATAATAATAATCAATTCTCACCATCTTGTCGACACATAATCCGTGTAGGGTGGTCGAGATCGAATTTCCCTCGCAAGTCCAAAATCGGCAATTTTCACCAGTTCCGGTCCCATGCAGAGGAGATTTTCCGGTTTCATGTCCCGATGAAAGAAACCGTGTTTGTGCATAAATGCCAGGCCCTGCAGTACTTGAAATACCATGTTTCTTATCACTGGCTCCGGGAAGAGTTTATCTCTGGATGGAAAGAAATATTTCATTATTAATATATTAATTATTACTCACTCACTCTTTTAAATGAAAAAAGCAAATTTTAAAAATAGTAGAATGTAAAAATTTTTAATTCGAATTTTTTTATAAAAATAAAATATTAATTGAAATATATAGTTTTAATATTATTATAATTATAATATTATTATAATTCAGGAAAGAGTCAGGACTTTTTATTAGAAGTAATGAAAAAAATTAAATTTATAAAATTAATAAGAAAATTCTGAATTTTTGGGTCTTTTTTGTTTGAGTCATAAACTATAAAATTACCACGAATTCTAATACAAAACCTTTTTTTTTAATTTCTGACAAAAATTTCTTTTTGAATAACTTAAATCTTGAACAACTATCATAAAATAAATAAATTATTTAATGAATAATTTTACTTAAATATTTCAAAATTAATTCAATTTCAAAAGAGTTGCGTTTTAATTTGAAATTTTATAAAATTCCAATGTTGAATGAATTAAATTAGAAATTTTAATGAACTAAGGTTTTTGAAATATTTTAATAATTCAAAAACTTCTAAAATTAGTTAAATTTGACAATATATATATATTTAATTAATTATTTAAAATAATGTATTAACAGAAGAATTTTAGTTAAAAACACTAAAAAAAATTGAATTTTGAAAAAAGTTACAAATGATTGCAAAAATTTAATTATTTTCAAAAAGTAATAAAATTCTTATCACAAAATTCAATTATGTTCAAAATTTACAAGAAAATCTCGACAAAATTACAATTATTCTCTTTATAGATAAAAAAAATTCTTCTTCAAAATTCAATCAATATAAAAACTTTTAATAAAACTCTTGTCAAAATTTCAATTATTTTCAAAAAATTTCCTCAATTCACTGATTTTCAATATTTACTATTTTAATAAAATTACCGAAAAGAATTCAATTTTTTAAAAACAATTTTAATAAAATTGTACGCAAAGATTTAATTATTTTTATAAATAATAAAAATTTCACAGGAATTAAAATAAAAATATTTATGAATAAATAAATAAATAAATAAAATATTTACAAATTTTTTATAACTTTCTTCTCAATAATTCAATTATTTTCGGAAATAATAAAACTCATCGCAGAATTTCAATTATTTTTAATACAATTTTAATTGAATTCCTCGAAAAATTTAATTAATTCTTGATAATTTTATTAAAATTCTTAGAAAAAATTCAATTTTGTTGATAAAATTCTTTATGATAATTAAATTTCAAGAAATTAAAAATTAAATTAAAAAATAAATTAAAATTCTTCGAAAAACTTCAATTTTGTTGATAAAATTCTCTATCATAATTAAATTTCAAGAAATATTCATTTCTTTAATAAATTATTTATTTTTGTATCTAAATAATTGAATTCTCGTATAATTTTCCAATAAAAATTAATTTAAAAATGAATATCAGTTAAAATTTTAGATAACAATTGAATGTTAAAAGCATTATAGCATGAATTTTTGGAAAATAATTGATAATTGAATTCTTTTGAAGAATTTTAATAAAATTTTTTGAAAATAAATTACATTTTTCGAAGAATTTACTTAGAATTGTATTAAAAATAATTGAAATCCTGTGAAGAATTTTACTAATTTATAAAAGTCATTGAATTCTTGCAATAAATTTTTTCAAATTTTTTTTCACATAATTGAAATAAGAATTTCGCTATCTATTTATAAAGGTAATTTAATTCTTAACGGGAATTTTAAAAAAATTTCAAAAATAATTTAATTTTTGCAAAGTATTTTTTTAGTTTTCAAAAGAATTAAATTCTTATGATGAATTTTGATATTTATCGAAATAATTGAATTTTTGAAAAGAATTTTATTAAAATTCTTTAAAGTAATTGATTTTAGGGGGAAAAATTTGTTGTTTATCAAGATAATTTGAATTATTTTGCAAAAATTATTTAAAAAGTTTTGAAAATAATTAATTTCCTCAGACGTATAAAAAGTTATTTATAAAAATAATTAAATTATTGCAACGAATTTTATTATTCTATTGAATAATGGAATGTTTCTTAAAATTGAATTCTTTTGTCAAGTTTAAATAAAATTTTTAAGAATAATTTCATTTTTCGAGGAATTGATTTAAAATTGTTTTAAAAATAATGGAAATTCTGCGATGAAAATAATTGAATTCCTAAATGAAATTTTATCATTTATAAAAATAATTCAATGTTTACGTAGAATTGTATAAAAAATTATTTAATAAATAATTTGATAAATTTTATGAAAATAAGTAAATATTGAAAATCATTTAATTGCGAAAAACTTTTGAAAATAATTGAAATTTTGCAAAGAATTTTATTTAAATTTTTGAAAATAATTGAATTCTTTCGAGAACTTTTATTAAAATAGTCGATTTTGAAAATATTTGAATTTGTTGATTAATTACTTATTCAACTAATTAATTAATTTAAAAAGTATAGAGTTTGTTAATTTTTTCCTAATTTTTTTTTTTTATTACATTAAATATTTATTAGCTAATTTTTTAATTAGTCAATAACTGAATAATTTTTTTTAGTTAATAATTAATAGTTACTAAATTAAGAAATAATAAATTAAATAGTTTTCTCTTATAAATGTGGAATGAAAATGATAAATTATTCACCTGTCTTTCATTAATTGATACAAATTTTCCTTCATGTACTCGAAGACAAAGTATAAAACGTCATTTTCTCTTATGACTTCCTTCAACTTCACGACGTTGGCATGGCTCAGTTTTTTCAAAGACTGCAAAAAAGAAGAATTTTTTTTGTCAAAACTATGATTAATTATTTTTACCATACAATTAATATAGTTTAATAATAATTATTACTTTTCAATAAAAATTTTTATCATTCGTAATAACAAAATTAAATGTAGAAATTAAAATCGTCCATTAAATTTACAATAAAATGTTTATTTAAATATTTAATAAATACATCGCTCCTAATATGAGAAAAAATTGAGAAGAGAAAGAGAAAAAAATTGAAGTGAAAAAAAAGAAGAAAGAGATGATTAAAAAAATGGAGAAAAAATTGAGAAGAGAAAGAGAAAAAAATTGAAGTGAAAAAAAAGAAGAAAGAGATGATTAAAAAAATGAAGAAAAAATTAAGAAGAGAAAGAGAAAAAAATTGAAGTGAAAAAAAAAGAAAGAGAAGATTATAAAAATGGAGAAAAAATTGAGAAGAGAAAGAGAAAAAATTAAAGTGAGAAAGAAGAAGAAAGAGATATGAACATTAAAAAAAATTGAAATATAAAGTTTAAAAAAAAAAAATTTCTTTTACGTTTCTGTAGAAATTATTTGTAAAAAATGAAAAAACCTTGACTTCTCGAAGATTCATAGCCTCCTCCCAGGAATAATATTTCCGCTTCATCCTCTTGATTGCAACTTTCTCGCCGGTGTCGATTCTTTCGCCGAGAACAACTGAGCCAAATGTTCCATCGCCCAGTTGGTTCAAGGTGATATATCGATTCATCTTCATTTGATCTTCATTCCAAAATTCCAACCCTCTTTGATGTAAGTCATTCACTTTTTAATTAATTTTTATTACGTAAATGCCGAATTTACATTCGGCGAAGCCTTGGATAACATTGCTTCCTTACATTTACTTCTGTAAATTAAAAAGAAATTTTCACATTAAAAATTTCAAATATTTTTTATATTCTCAATTTTGACAAAAATTTCAATAAAATTTCGTAAACAGGGTTACCACACAAAAATTTAATTTCGTTTTTCCCTGATTCATTATTATTTTTTCAGAGGAGTTAAAATTTTCGAAAATTTCAAATTTTATTAAATTGTTAGTTAAAAGTTCAAAAAATTCTAATTTTCAAAGATTTGAATTCGAAACCTTTTCAAAATTCAATTATTTCTAAATATTCCCCACTAATGCTTTTAATATTCAATTATTATCTAAAATTTTAACTGAAATTCATTTTTATGAAATGAAAATCAATTTTTATTGGAAAATTCTACGAGAATCCAATTATTTAAATACAAAAATAAATAATTTATTCAATAATTGAATGTTTCTTAGAATTTAATTTCTACAATGATAATTTTATTAACAACTTTTGAAAATAATTAATTTCTTTTAAGGAATTTAATTAAAATTTTACTGAAATTTATTATAATATTAAAGAATTTTATAACAGTTTTTGAAAATAATTGAAAACTTTTTGACGAATTTTATTAAAATCTTTTTAAATAATTGAATTCATGCGAAGAATTTTGATTAAATTTCGTTTAAATAATTGGAATTTTGACAAGAATATTATTAAAATTTTTGACAATAATTTAATTCTTTAGAAGAATTTCGCTATCTATTTATAAAGGAAATTTAATTTTTAACGGGAATTTAAAAAAAATTTTTTAAATAATTTAATTTTCGCAAAGTATTTTATTGGATTTCAAAAGAATTGAATTCTTATGATGAATTTTGATATTTATCGAAAATTATTTAAAAAGTTTTGAATATAATTGATTTCCTCAGACGAATAAAAAGTTATTTATAAAAATAATTAAATTATTCCAACGAATTTTATTATTCTATTGAATAATGGAATGTTTCTTAAAATTCAATTCTTTCGTCAAGTTTAAATAAAATTTTTAAGAATAATTTCATTTTTCGAGGAATTTATTTAAAATTGTATTAAAAATAATGGAAATTCTGCGATGGAAATAATTGAATTCCTAAATGAAATTTTATCATTTATGATAATAATTGAATGTTTACGTAAAATTGCATAAAAAATTATTTAATAAATTTTATGAAAATATTAAATATTGAAAATCATTGAATTGCGAAAAAGTTTTGAAAATAATTGAAATTTTGCAAAGAATTTTATTTAAATTTTTGAAAATAATTAAATTTTTGACGAAAAATTTTGCTATTTATAAAGATAATTGAATTCTTGACGAGATATTCGTTAACATTTTTAAAAATAATTGAATTTCTTCGAAGAATTTCATTACTTTTGAAAATAATTGAATTCTTGTGATGAATATTGTTATTTATGCGAAAATAATTGAATTTTGCAAAAAAAATTTTTTTATTCCTAAAAATAATTGAATTTTTGTAAAGAATTTTCTTATTTATCAAGATAATTGTGTTAAAACTTTTGAAATAATTTATTTATTTATTTATTTAAGAAGTTGACGGGTAAAACCCTTTCGTACAGAGTACTAAAATAACTAAAGACTGTACTTAAATTAATAACTAAAATAATTAAATAATATTAAAAAATTTATTCTGGTCAGAATTAGAAAAAATTTTGAATGTTTTATATTGGAATTCATAGTAGTTTCATAGTTTATAAGTCAAACAAAAAAGGCACGAAAAATTCAGAGTTTTCTTATGAATTCTAAAAATTTAATTTCTTCCAGTACTTTTAATAAAAACCTTTGACTTTTCCCTGATTTTTAAAATTTGTTTTAAAATTATTTTATTTTATTCAAATAAAAACTATTTGCTTCAAGTTTCTTTAAAATAGGAATCAATTAAAATGTTTTTTAAGTAGTAAAAGGCCGTTTTAGTCAGACTATGACATTCAAAATTATTCAAAAAAATGTTATAAAATTAGTATAATAAGACAGTTTTAATCAGACTATAATATATAGTTGTAGCAGTAGTAGAAGAAATTTTTAGTCAGACAAAAATGAAAAGAATAAAAAATATTTAATGATAAAAATTTAATAATATGTTTTAAAATTATTGTATTTGATTCAACCAAAAAATGTTTTCTTCAAGTTTATTCAAAGTATTTATTATTTAAAAAAAAAATACTTCAAGTCATGGCATTTATTTAAGAAATATTATCGGACTAAATTTCCTCATTTGAAAATAAAATACACTAATTCAAAAAATATTTATTTAAAAAAATATCTATTTTTAATATTTCCTTTTATTATTATAGAAAAAGAAATTTTAATTAGGGAAACAATTATTTTATTTGATGCAAATGAAAATAATTTACCTCTTCAAGTAAATATTTATTTAAAAAAAATTATTCGCACTAATTTCTGTACTTGGAAACAAATACCATTATTTAGTTGAAATAATATTAATAAAAACAAGACTTTCTCATTTTTGATGAGAATGTAAAAATAAATAGATATTTAATTTTCTGATTTTTATTATAAGTAACAAAAGTAGTTTTTTCAATCATTTAGAATTATTGAATAAAAAAATCAATAGAATTAAAAATAAAAAAAGTAGTGTTAGTAGTATTAAAACTAAAAGAAGTAGTATTTAGTAGTATTAAAACTAAAAAAAGTAGTATTAGTAGTAGTGAATCTAAAAAAGTAATATTATTAGTATTAAAACTAAAAAAGTAGTATTATTAGTATTAAAACTAAAAACTAGTATTAGTAGTAGTAAAACTAAAAAAGTAGTATTAGCACTATTAAAAATAAAAAAAATAACATTAGTAGGTGCATAGAAAGTAGTTTTCTAATCATTATAAAAATGAAATTTACAATTCTAAATACGCAATGCAAGGAATAAAAAAGAGACTTTAAAAACCAGTAAGCGGAAATTTGCTCTAAAACAAAGAAAGAAAAATTCTTCTAACAGTCATTAATATTGAATAGGTGGGCAATAGAAATAAATTTCTTTTTTTTTATAGATCAAAATACCGAGTAACAGGGGGAAATTCCAAATGAGAAGATAATTCGAATTCCAAGAATATTTCTTATTCGAAGATTTATATTTCAGTTTGAACAGGTCAGGGTAAAAGTGAATTGTGTTGAACTTGTTTTACAGTTATTCTTTATTGATTTATGTTTATGTCAAACTTTATTTACTGTGCGTAGAAAAATTTATGACAAGTGTCACACAAACACATATTAATGCACGCACGCTCTAGACACAATTTACTTAATTTAAATTTCACTACTATTACTGTACGTGAAAAAATGTGGAACACACAGAAATATTATTTTCTTGTTTTATTTTATTTTATTTTATTATTTTCTTATTACTTTCTTATTACTTTCTTATTACTTTTCTATATTATTTTTCTACTATTTCGAATTATTTTTTTTTCTTTCATTTTTTTATTATTGTTGAATAATTTTCTTTTTATTCTTCTATTATTTTTCTATCATTTTACTATTATTTATTTACTTGTTTATTTTTTTATTATTCTCCTACAATAATTAACTCAGACGTTAAAATTTGCTTCGCAATTTTAAAATCGTCTAGTTAATTATTTGTTTACTAGCAAACGTTATACTCGAGCCAGCGAGCGGTACACTGTATTCAATTTTTTACTTCTTATTATTATTATTATTATTATTTTTTTTTTTTATTTTTATTATTATTATTATTTTGCAAATAGCAGCAAAAGATATAATTATTAAAAATCCACTTTAATTTATAAATAATTTCAGATTATATAAATTAATTAAAATTAGAAACTTAGAAAAATATATTCTATTCTTAAAATTACAGAATGTTACGAAAATTGTTACAATTTTTTCACAAAAATTTTATCTTTTAAAATTCAAAAAATAATAATGGAAAATAAAATAATAAAATTTTTCTGCTAAAATAACACAACAAAATTTATACTCTAAATTTGAATTTGTAAAAACTAACAATTTTAACTAATTAAACTTATTAACAATTTTTCTTTAAATAATTAAAATTTACTATATAAGGTAATAGATTTATTTTTTCAATTATTAGTAAAATTTAAATAATTAAGAATTAAAAAATAAGTTCTTTGAATTTATAAGTAAAATTTACATAATTCAGAAGCAAAAAGTAATTATAGTAATTATTTCTATCAATTCAAATTTAGAGAGTGAATTAAAAAATAAAAAGCTAGTTAATTATTTAGAAATGAAATTAAAATTAAAATTAAATTAAAATTTAGAAAAAAATTTAATTTTTTCACTCTATCGTTTATATTAACTTATTAATAAATTAAAAATGATTTTCATAATGAATTATAAAAATTTTTTATATTTTTTTTCTAGATCTAAATTAAGTTTTTTCAAAGAAAAAATATTATTGAAAATTTTAACAATATTGATACGAAATTTCGTGAAATTAATTTTTTTTTAATCTCATTCTCAAGTATACTTGGAACCAGAAATAAAAATAAATAAAAAGACTTTCGCTCTAAATTTATAAATAACAATATAATTATTATATGATTAATTGTTACTCTCAAGATCAATCGATTTTTTATATGATTCAATTTTTTTTTTAAGTGTGTGGAAATTTTTCTTTTTATATTTTCAATTATATTCTAAACTGTATAATATAAGTTTATAGCCTTCATACTAAAAACTCGCTGTGTATTAAAATGTTTGAAAAATTGATTTACACATTGATAAAATATTCTGATATGCATAATGGCTTTATTACTATTTTTCTCATAAATATATATGCAAAAAAAAAAAATTATTTCTTCTTTTATATATCACGACAGGTAGTGCATTGTCATTTTGAAAAATTCAATTACCGTAACGAAAATGAAAAAAAGAAATTGTAAGAATATGACCTTTCATGAACGTCCAAGGAACTGCGGAACTTTGTTATGATGTATCGATCTTAAGGAGGAACTTTATGAGATATTTACGAGTCTCATATATATTGTC